GTCCCTCTCTCAGTCCCTCTCTCAGTCCCTCTCTCAGTCCCTCTCTCAGTCCCTCTCTCGGTCCCTCTCTCGGTCCCTCTCTCAGTCCCTCTCTCAGTCCCTCTCTCAGTCCCTCTCTCAGTCCCTCTCTCAGTCCCTCTCTCAGTCCCTCTCTCAGTCCCTCTCTCAGTCCCTCTCTCAGTCCCTCTCCCAGTCCCTCTCTCGGTCCCTCTCTCGGTCCCTCTCCCGGTCCCTCTCTCGGTCCCTCTCCAGTCTCAGTCCCTCTCTCAGTCCCTCTCTCAGTCCCTCTCTCAGTCCCTCTCTCAGTCCCTCTCTCAGTCCCTCTCCCAGTCCCTCTCTCAGTCCCTCTCTCAGTCCCTCTCTCAGTCCCTCTCCAGTCCCTCTCTCTGTCCCTCTCTCGTCCCTCTCTCAGTCCCTCTCTCAGTCCCTCTCTCAGTCCCCTCTCTCAGTCCCTCTCCCAGTCCCTCTCTCAGTCCCTCTCTCAGTCCCTCTCTCAGTCTCTCTCTCAGTCCCTCTCTCAGTCCCTCTCTCAGTCCCTCTCTCAGTCCCTCGCCCAGTCCCTCTCCCAGTCCCTCTCTCAGTCCCTCTCTCAGTCCCTCTCTCAGTCCCTCTCTCAGTCCCTCTCCTCAGTCCCTCTCTCAGTCCCTCTCCAGTCCCAGTCCCTCTCTCAGTCCCTCTCTCAGTCCCTCTCCCAGTCCCTCTCTCAGTCCCTCGCCCAGTCCCTCTCTCAGTCCCTCTCTCAGTCCCTCTCTCAGTCCCTCTCTCAGTCCCTCTCTCAGTCCCTCTCCCAGTCCCTCTCTCAGTCCCTCTCTCAGTCCCTCTCTCAGTCCCTCTCTCAGTCCCTCTCTCGGTCCCTCTCTCAGTCCCTCTCTCAGTCCCTCTCCCAGTCCCTCTCTCAGTCCCTCTCTCAGTCCCTCTCTCAGTCCCTCTCTCAGTCCCTCTCTCGTCCCTCTCCGTCCCTCTCTCAGTCCCTCTCTCAGGTCCCTCTCTCAGTCCCTCTCTCAGTCCCTCTCTCAGTCCCTCGCCCAGTCCCTCTCCCAGTCCCTCTCTCAGTCCCTCTCTCAGTCCCTCTCTCAGTCCCTCTCTCAGTCCCTCTCTCAGTCCCTCTCTCAGTCCCTCTCCCAGTCCCTCTCTCAGTCCCTCTCTCAGTCCCTCTCCCAGTCCCTCTCTCAGTCCCTCGCCCAGTCCCTCTCTCAGTCCCTCTCTCAGTCCCTCTCTCAGTCCCTCTCTCAGTCCCTCTCTCAGTCCCTCTCCCAGTCCCTCTCTCAGTCCCTCTCTCAGTCCCTCTCTCAGTCCCTCTCTCAGTCCCTCTCCCAGTCCCTCTCTCAGTCCCTCTCTCAGTCCCTCTCTCAGTCCCTCTCTCAGTCCCTCTCTCAGTCCCTCTCCCAGTCCCTCTCTCGGTCCCTCTCCCGGTCCCTCTCTCAGTCCCTCTCCCGGTCCCTCTCTCAGTCCCTCTCTCAGTCCCTCTCTCAGTCCCTCTCTCAGTCCCTCGCCCAGTCCCTCACCCAGTCCCTCTCTCAGTCCCTCACCCAGTCCCTCTCTCAGTCCCTCTCCCGGTCCCTCTCTCAGTCCCTCTCCCGGTCCCTCTCTCAGTCCCTCTCCCGGTCCCTCTCTCAGTCACTCTCTCTCAGTCCCTCTCTCAGTCCCTCTCTCAGTCCCTCTCTCAGTCCCTCTCTCAGTCCCTCTCTCAGTCCCTCTCTCAGTCCCTCTCCCAGTCCCTCTCTCAGTCCCTCTCTCAGTCCCTCTCTCAGTCCCTCTCTCAGTCCCTCTCCCAGTCCCTCTCTCAGTCCCTCTCTCAGTCCCTCTCTCAGTCCCTCTCTCAGTCCCTCTCTCAGTCCCTCTCCCAGTCCCTCTCTCAGTCCCTCTCTCAGTCCCTCTCCCAGTCCCTCTCTCAGTCCCTCTCTCAGTCCCTCTCTCAGTCCCTCTCTCAGTCCCTCTCTCAGTCCCTCTCTCGGTCCCTCTCTCAGTCCCTCTCTCGGTCCCTCTCTCAGTCCCTGTCTCAGTCCCTCTCTCAGTCCCTCTCCCGGTCCCTCTCCCAGTCCCTCTCTCAGTCCCTCTCTCAGTCCCTCTCTCAGTCCCTCTCCCAGTCCCTCTCTCAGTCCCTCTCTCAGTCCCTCTCTCAGTCCCTCTCTCAGTCCCTCTCTCAGTCCCTCTCCCAGTCCCTCTCTCGGTCCCTCTCCCGGTCCCTCTCTCAGTCCCTCTCCCGGTCCCTCTCTCAGTCCCTCTCTCAGTCCCTCTCTCAGTCCCTCTCTCAGTCCCTCGCCCAGTCCCTCTCTCAGTCCCTCACCCAGTCCCTCTCTCAGTCCCTCTCTCAGTCCCTCTCCCGGTCCCTCTCTCAGTCACTCTCTCAGTCCCTCTCTCAGCTCCCCTCTCCCAGTCCCTCTCTCAGTCCCTCACTCAGTCCCTCCCAGTCCCTCTCTCAGTCCCTCTCTCAGTCCCTCTCTCAGTCCCTCTCTCAGTCCCTCTCCCGGTCCCTCTCTCAGTCCCTCTCTCAGTCCCTCTCTCAGTCCCTCTCTCGGTCCCTCTCCCGGTCCCTCTCTCAGTCCCTCTCTCAGTCCCTCTCTCAGTCCCTCTCTCAGTCCCTCTCTCAGTCCCTCTCTCAGTCCCTCTCCCTGTCCCTTTCTCAGTCCCTCTCTCAGTCCCTCTCTCAGTCCCTCTCTCAGTCCCTCTCTCAGTCCCTTGCCCAGTCCCTCTCTCAGTCCCTCTCTCAGTCCCTCTCTCAGTCCCTCTCTCAGTCCCTCTCCCAGTCCCTCTCTCAGTCCCTCTCTCAGTCCCTCTCCCAGTCCCTCTCTCAGTCCCTCTCTCAGTCCCTTGCCCAGTCCCTCTCTCAGTCCCTTGCCCAGTCCCTCTCTCAGTCCCTCTCTCAGTCCCTCTCCCAGTCCCTCTCTCAGTCCCTCTCTCAGTCCCTCTCTCAGTCCCTCTCTCAGTCCCTCGCAGCTGTGTGACCCTGTGAGTGCCACGCAGACCTCTGGAGGAGAGAAGAAGAAAGAGAAAGTTTGATGAAAGCGGTGGAAGAGGAGAGATGGCAAATAATACATGAAAGAAAGTCAGTCAGGCCGGCTGTTAGAGAGGAGAGGAGGCCAGGCCAGTGTCCGGCTGCCTGGGAGAGAGGGGGGGAGAGAGAAGAGGAGAGGAGAGGAGAGGAGAGGAGAGGAGGCCAGGCCAGTGTCCGGCGTCCTGGGAGAGGGGGGGGAGAGAGAAGAGGAGAGGAGAGGAGAGGAGAGGAGAGGAGAGGAGGCCAGGCCAGTGTCCGGCGTCCTGGGAGAGAGGGGGGGAGAGAGAAGAGGAGAGGAGAGGAGAGGAGGCCAGGCCAGTGTCCGGCGTCCTGGGAGAGAGGGGGGGAGAGAGAAGAGGAGAGGAGAGGAGAGGAGGCCAGGCCAGGCCAGTGTCCGGCTGCCTGGGAGAGAGGGGGGGAGAGAGAAGAGGAGAGGAGAGGAGAGGAGGCCAGGCCAGTGTCCGGCTAACTGGGAGAGAGAGAGAGGGGGGAGAGAGAGAGAGAAAGGGAAGAGAAGAGGAGAGAGAGAGAAGAGGAGAGGGGGCCAGGCCAGTGTCCGGCAGCCTGAGAGAGGGGGGGGAGAGACAGAGAGAGAGGAAGAGAAAGAAGAGAAGAGGAGAGAAGAGGAGAGAGAGGGAGAGGAGATACAGCGAGAGACAGAGAGAGAGAGATAGACAGAGACAAAGAGAGAGACAGAGAAATAGATGGAGAGAGAGACAGAGAGACAGTGAAAGAGAGAGAGAGACAGAGAGAGATAGACACAGAGAGAGAGATAGACAGAGAAAAATAGACAGAGAGAGAGATAGACAGAGACAGATAGACAAAGAGAGAGAGATAGACAGAGACAAAGAGATAGACAGAGAAAGAGACGGAGAGAGATAGACAGAGAGAGAGAAAGACAGATAGACAGAGATAGACAGAGACAAAGAGAGAGACAGAGAAAGAGATGGAGCGAGAGACAGAGAGACAGTGAAAGAGAGACAGAGACAGAGAGAGATAGACAGAGACAGATAGCGAGAGATAGACAGAGACAAAGAGAGAGACAGAGAAAGAGACGGAGAGAGAGAGAGACAGAGAGATAAACAGAGACAGATAGACAAAGAGAGAGAGATAGACAGAGACAAAGAGATAGACAGAGAAAGAGACGGAGAGAGATAGACAGAGAGAGAGAAAGACAGATAGACAGAGACAAAGAGAGAGACAGAGAAAGAGATGGAGAGAGACAGTGAAAGAGAGAGAGAGACAGCGAGAGATAGACAGAGACAGATAGAGAGACAGAGAAAGAGACGGAGAGAGAGAGAGACAGAGACAGATAGAGAGAGATAGACAGAGACAAAGAGAGAGACAGAGAAAGAGACGGAGAGAGAGAGAGACAGAGAGATAGACAGAGACAGATAGACAAAGAGAGAGATAGACAGAGACAAATAGACAGAGAGAGAGATAGACAGAGACAAATAGACAGAGAGAGAGATAGACAGAGACAAAGAGATAGACAGAGAGATAGACAGAGACAGATAGACAGAGAGAGAGAGAGAGACAGACAGAGATAGACAGAGAAAGAGACGGAGAGAGAGAGAGACAGAGACAAAGAGATAGACAGAGAGATAGACAGAGACAGATAGACAGAGAGAGAGAGAGACAGATAGACAGAGATAGACAGAGACAGAGAAAGAGACGGAGAGAGAGAGAGACAGAGACAAAGAGAGAGACAGAGAAAGAGACGGAGAGAGACAGAGAAAGAGACGGAGAGAGAGAGAGACAGAGAGATAGACAGAGACAGATAGACAGAGAGAGAGAAAGACAGAGACAGAGAGAGAGAGGCTGGGGATACACTGCTGCTGTTGGTCCTGGGAGAGATGCAGTCTTCATAGATCAGCGTTGGGAGGGTCCAGTTTTAATGTGTGTATTTATGCTCATAAGTTTACACACCCTGGAAATTAAAGATATTGCAAAGGTGTGGATTGGAATGTTTTTTTCTCCTCGGCTTGAGCAGCAACCCTCCTCCTCCCCCATCACCTCATAATGCAAGGGCGGCACGCTGGCTGAGTGGATGGCGTTCTCGCTTCTCAGCAAGAAGGTCCTGGGTTCTAATCCCGGTCGGAACAGGGCCTTTCTGAGTGGAGTTTGCACGTTCTACCCGTGTCTGTGTAGGTTTCCTCCGGGTGCTCCGGTTTCCCCTATCACTAAAAACATGCACAATAGGTCTGAATGTAAATGAGAGAGTGGATGGATGGTGTTGGAGCTGATGGTCCAGTGTGTTCTGGACTCGCTTCTGTCATCACCGTGTGTGGAAGGATTGGAACAATATCTGACTCTGAACATTGTAAAGCGCTTTGGGTCTGTACCTTGGTCTGTAGAATGCGCTATATAAATAAACATTACTAAAGAAATAAATACATTGCTTTCTTTAATGAGTGAACATTAAAGGGTACAGCATATGTCTATAATTATAATTCTAGACTGTATTTTATGACTGCTGGGTCTAAGTGTCTGAATCAAGCACTGACTACATGTATGTCGTGCAAAAGTATCTTCATAAAACAAATATATTTATGTTTTTCATATTTGAGCTTCAGGCCTACATCTGTTTCTTTCCAGATAGAAATGTATCCAACAACTCTGAGATTTTTTCACTCTCACACATCCGTCCAAAACCAACAGGGCCAGTGTGAGGAAGAGTGATGATGCTCGGCTTGGTCAGGACCTGATCTGGACGATTTCACCTTTTTGTACCTTAGTGGTATGGGGAATCCGGAGCACCCAGAGGAAACCTACACAGACTCAGAAAGACCCTGATCCGACTGGGATACTGTACTTGTCCTTTATAATTGCCACCGTCTGGAAAGGATAGGATATAATTTATAGTGCCATTTTTGTATTGCCTTAAAGGGGCTGTACCTGTTTCTGCAGGGGTTTTTTTCAGTTTGAATGTTCCCCTACAAAACAATTAGGCTATATATAATCATTAATTTAATTTTTACAATTAAATAATGTAAAATATAGGATTTATCTATTTATTGTTTTCCAGTAAAAAACTCAAAAAAAACAAATGTTTCTTTTATAATGTCAATAATCGTAATTAATCGTAAAATCGCAATATTTCCTCTCACAATAATCGTGACTCAAAAATGTGAAATCGTGGAAGCCCTAGTCTGGAGTGAGAGACAATTGTAAAGCGCTTTGTGACTCTGGTCTGTGAAAGGCGCTATATAATTAAATATTACTTTATATTCTTTAATTGTTTTTTTTAACGTCCAGTCGCTGATGTTTATTATGGTTTTTCCTTCATAGTTTCTTCTAAAACAAGAAAACCCGTGAAACAGAAGAACCTCTTTGTCCCGTGATGCTTATACTTTATAGAGAACTTGAAAAGGCCAGACAAAAATAAATGTATATTGTTTCTAAAATGAAGAATTCCAACAAACAAAACCACAAACGGTTGAAACGTGATCAATAAGAGCTCAGATGATTCACAATCAATACTAAATTCACCGTCGCTCAGAGATTCTGTTCTATCTTAAAATGCTATTTCTCTGGAAAAAGTCATAAAAATGTGTCACAGGTTTAGCTTTAGGGCTTCATTAATATTCCATAAACTTAGTGGGTCGTTTGGAAGTCTCCGTTTATGTCAAACTTAGACAATCGATGACTTTTTCTCTTCACATTTTCATAAAACGTCCTGCTACAGACAATGTTTTATCTGCGTCAGCTTTGTAAACAAATAGAAATGTATTTTCTTTTAACAATTTGTACTTTAGTGGGTAATGGGACAGGGCTTATGGGTCCTTCTAACTGTCAATCATTCTGCTGATACGAGCTCGTCCAAAAAGACCAGAGAGTTTTGTATAAAAATGGAGAGACCAGTTTTTCCCAAAATGTGTGAAAATCCTCTTATGAACCTTTAAGCTCGAAGTCTATATTGAAACTTGTTCCCACATCTCTCTGAAACACGGCCCACGAGCGTCCCAAACACAAATACACCCGTTCCGATGACCTCCTGCGAAGAGTTGGCAAAGTTTTCAAAGTGTGAGTATTGCAGTGGGGAGAAACAAAGCTCTGGGTCCTTTACCTTTTGCACTTCTTTCTGTAAACTTAAGCGCCATCGACCAATGGGAAATCAATGCTCCGACTGCTGCTGCCGGTGTCAACGCAATGTTCCATCCAAAAACGCACCCACGTGGATTCAGACTAAGACGAAACAGAAGTGTTCACGGGGACAATTAAACAGCAAACAGCGAAGCCTCCTGAGTAGATGAGTGCAAAGTTACTGATTAACTTTACTTCAGAATTTCTCCTCAGCAAATATTTATATAGGAAAAGGTCGGGCCTGAACCAATAGATGTGATTTACTTTTCTTACCTGTAAAATAGTTTTTTACAATACTTGTTGATTTTTGTGTTTATTGTTTAGATTTAACCTAAACTGGACCAAATATAAAGATAAACACATTGTTATATATAGTTTAGATTGAATTAAATGTGGTTGTAGTTTGGTTGAATAGAACATGTATCAAATTATGCCTTGAAAACCCAAAACCATCAATGATGCAGGTTAATAATTGAAAATTGTTTTAGGGGCCACTAAAAATTGTCTTTTGGGCCGGATTTGGCCCACGAGCCTGAGTTTGACATATTATATCAATGCATTGGCACATATGTGTTGCACTGGATCTGTATCTGGGACTCATTTTTAAATGTTTAACTCAATAATATCTGGAGCAGTTTTCCTGAAAAAGTGAGACAGGCTTCTACTCTAGTTGTGTAGAGAGCATAGACTGTAAATATTAACAGACGCAGTAACACCTATCTCCACCGTTAAAACTAGTGTGTCATCACTTTTCACCTCAAACATTTTTTTTTTGGGGAGAACCTGCAGGAAAATGTGAAAAGACTCATTTGCGCATGCGTTAGCTGCACTAGCCACATTTAATTATTTAACAAGTCCACAGCGGCTACACATTAACAGCATCTGGAAGTAGCTTTGGGCCAAGAGCGACTTTTGGACC